ATAATAAGGTATTTGGATGGAATGATGTGATATCTGAGATTTGTTTCAAAATACTTTAGTCTGTTGGAAGAACAAGTATTATGAAAATGTCCACTACCCAAAGCAAATTACAGATTTAACACAATCCCTAACAAAATGCCAACAACATTTTTCACAGAACTAGAACAAATAATCTTAAAATTTGTATGGAGCCACAAAAAACCCTGAATAGCCAAAGCAATCTTGAAAAAGAACAAAACTGGAGGTATCACAATCTCAGATTTCAAGATACACTACAAAGCTGTAGTTATCAAAACAGTATGGTACTGGCACAAAAACAGACACATAAATCAACGAAACAGAACAGAGAGCTCAGAGAGCATGATTATATGGTCAATTAATCTTCGACAAAGGAGGCAATGGGAAAAAGACAGTCTCTTCAACAAATGGTTCTGGGAAAAGTGGACACCAACATGAAAAAGAATGAAACTGGACCACTTTCTTACACCATACACAAACATAAATTTAAAATAGATTAAGGACCTAAATGTGAGACCTAAAACCATAAAAATCCTAGAAGAGAGCACAGGCAGTAACTTCTCTGACATCGGCTGTAGCAACATATTTCTAGATATGTCTCCCGAGGCAAGGGAAACAAAAGCAAAAATAAACTATTGGGACTATATCAAAATAAAAACTTCTGCACAGCACAGGAAACAATCCACAAAGCTAAAAGGCAACCTACTGAATGTGAGAGAGTATTTGCAAATGACATATTTGATAAAGGGTTAGTATCCAAAATACATAAAGAACTTATAAAACTCAACACCCAAAAAACAAATAATCCAATTTTAACATGGACAAAAGACATGAATAGACATTTCTCCAAAGAAGACAAATAGATGGCCAGCAGACATATTGAAAGATGCTCAACATCACTCATCATCAGGGAAATGCAACTCAAAACCACAATGTGATATCGCCTCACGTCTGTCAGAATGGCTAAAATCAAAAACTCAAGAAACAACAAGTGTTGGGAAGGATGTAGAGAAAAAGGAACCCTCTTGCACTGTTGGTAGGAATGCAAACTGGTGCAGCCACTGTGGAAACCAGTATGGAGATTCTTCAAAAAATTAAAAATAGCTTTTGGTCTTTTAGTGATGTTCCAGGGGTGGCTGCTGTTCTCTGAGCTTTGCAATGTCACCCAAGGATGACAAGAAGAAGAAAGATGCCAGAAAGTCAACCAAGAAAGACAAAGACCCAGTGAACAAACCTGGGGGTAAGACTAAAAAGAAATGATCCAAAGGCAAAGTTCGGCACAAGCTCAATAACCTGGTCTTGTTTGACAAAGCGACATATGACAAACTCTGTAAGGAAGTTCTCAGCTATTAGCTTATAACCCCAGCTGTTGTCTCTGAGAAACTGAAGATTCGAGGTTCCTAGCCAGGGCGGACTTATTAAACTGGTTTCAAAGCACAGAACTCAAGTAATTTACACAAGAAATACCAAGGGTGGAGATGACCCAGCTGCTGGTGAAGATGCATGAAGAGAGCCCACCAACTGTACATTTTGAAAAATAAAACTTTATTAAATTAAAAATTAAAAATAGAATTACCCTATCATCTAGTAATTTCACTCCTGGGTAATTTATCCAAAGAATATGAAAACACTAATTCAAAAAGATATGCACACACTTATGTTTACTGCAACACTATTTACAATACCTATATTATGGAAGCAGCCCAAGTGTCCATCGATAGATGAGTGGATAAAGAAGAAGTGGGGTGTGTGTGTGTGTGTGTGTGTATTATTCACCATAAAAAGGAATGACATCTTGCCATTTGCAACATGGATGGAACTAGAGAGTATAATGCTAAGTGAAATTAAGTTGGTCAGAGAAAAACAAATTACATATATGGAATTTAAGAAACAAATGAACAAAGGAAAAAAGAGACCATCCAAAAACCAGACTCTTAACTATAGAGAACAAATTGATGGTTACCAGAGGGGAGGCAGGTAGGGGGATGGGTGAAATAGGTGATGGGGATTAAGAGTACATTTATCATGACGAGCACTGAGTAATGTATGGAATTGTATCACTATATTGTACACCTGAAACCAATATAACACTGTATGTTAACTGTACTAGAATTAAAAATTTTAAAAAAAATCCAAAAAAACCCCCACTTCAGTTGGAAGGAGGAGAAATGAAACAAAATACTGGTAATTGTTGAGGGCAGGTGATAGGTATGTGAGAGTTCATTATTCTTTCCTGCCTTATGTATGTATAAAAATTTCTATAGTAAAACAGTTTTAAAAGAGCAAGAAACTGTTCTCTTCCTCACAGGTAGTCTTTCACTTCTTCCGTTTTCCTTCATCGCACTTACTGTTGTCATTATACATTTTTGAGATTATTTAATGATTGTCTCTAACTAGACTTTAAGCTCCATGAGGATTACAAAGATGTTTGCTTAGCTCTAGTAGAATTGCTACTACCTCACAAAGTTTCTGGCATGTGACAGGCCTCCAACAAATATTAAGTAAATGACTTAGTCAATATGATAAGTCCCCATTGTGCACCTGGGTCAATATCAATAAATGCTCAATAAATAAAATGGGGGGGGGAAGCCAGGAACCTTTGGATGAAGGAATTCAACATATTTACCTATATGTACCTACCATTTAAATTGACATGCTTTTCTATTTAAAGTGTAGTAAAAATGTCACAAAACAGATTTAACTTCATCTAGCTTGTCCTCACTTTACACATGTGATGTACTCAGTTAATAACTATAATCTCCATTTTATGATATGGAAACTATGGAACTAAAAAGTTAGGAAACTTTTTCAAGGTCATGATGAAACAGAAGCACAAGTGAACAAAGCTCAGCTCTGTTCTCAGGCCTCATGCTGTTCCTAAAAGAACATGATTTTAGTCTCAGGAAAAATAAAACAATAAAAGAGGAAAGGGAGTACTGTATATATTAATTCAATCTTCAGTGGCTAAGAAACTTGAGTAGCTGTATGACAGTCTCAGGTGGAAATATTTTGACTTTGCCCAAAACAATTTCAAGGTTGAAGCACCTAGTAGTAGAGGAATTCTAAAAAGCAGAAGGTGAGGCATTTAGACAATAGGGAACAGAAAACGGTGACACTTAAGCAATGTTTTGTTTTTTTTTAAACTGGGTAAATTGAAATAGTATAGCGAGGGACAACTAACAAGAAAATTCATAAAGAGAATAAGTACTAATACTAAGACATTAAGACACAAGTCCCCTGGGTTCCCAAATTTTATTTATCTCAAATATAATACTAGAATTAATGTTTCTATTTAATCATTATTTTATATAGAAGTAGCCTACTAAAATATCACTATGCTCCCAAATCCTTTTGAAATGGTTAAAATCCAAATTCACCTTAATTTACTAATAGATAATGATGTGCACATTCAGAAAGGCAGAACTGCCAAATGTTTGCCATTAATGGAAACATAAACTATTTGTAAAACTAATCTTAATTCAGCCAATCTGAATGCTCTTGAGCTATGGTGCCAAAACATGTCACAGCCACATTTTTGGAGAACATTTAGAGACAAACTAATCAAAGTCTAAAATAAAGTCTGCCACAAAATCTAAAAAATTAAAATACCTAGTTTTAGCAAAAAACATTTTAAATATCCCAATAAACTTATTTTGGGGAGAGAGTCTGGAAAGATTTTTTTTTGTTCACATAGAGGGTTACAAAGAGGTATCTGGCCTGGGTTGAATTCTACACTAGGTTGTTACTCAAGCATAATTACTACTCTTGGAGCTGCTACAAGGACTCGGGGCGTTCAGGTTTACTCCTGTACTCTTTATATCATGGGTTGTCAAATCATGCTTCCAATTTGCAGTACATCATTCACTGCAGGGTAACGATTTACATATGCAATTTCCAAACAAGAATGAAAGATTTACTTGCCCCATGATGGCTTCTTTTCAACTTTTAAAATAATTTATAAAAGCGCCAGCTGAGCATGAACTCACATGCCCAAATAGTCTATCAATACCTTCAGCCTTTTAATGTAAGCAGTAAAAGGAATACTGTCCTCTGACGGCAGACAACACTGCTGACCCACGCGAGGCATTGATTTGTAGTTGTTTTTCCACTGGGGTGATGTATTTGCACTCAGCTACTCACGGTGTCTACTAGGTCCCCCTGGTGACCGACAGTACATGAAGGCAGTAGTAGGGTTCGAAGACACAGACCGGCAGCGGCACAGAGGGTGGAACGGGGAAATCATGAAAGATTAACACGCGAACAGTACACATGACATGACTGAGAATTACGTTTGCATTGCTGGGGTATTTGGGATCGGCACCAGACACTGTCCCGTTTCCTTTTAGAAACAAACACCCATCCGCCTCTTTCGGGCTTCTGAGTCCTACCTCCTATTTAAATCTCGAGTGTGATGGAAAGACCGAACCAAGGGGCTCAGCACTAGACACACGTCGCTTCTCGGGGATTTGGGGAAACACTGATGTGACAAATTGCCATAATTTTCTAAAATATGGTGGAATGACACACCACCTCTCCTACCACCGACCGAAGACACAGAGTCGTGAAAAACCGACCTGCGGGGCCCACAGGGGAGGGGGAGGAGAGCGCCAGACCAGGGAGCAGCCGGCGCACGTCCCGAGCCAAGGCTAAAGAGTCTCAACTATTAGGGGCGTAGGGTCGCACCCGGGTCACGTCTCGGGGCTCTCGGATGCTAGGGGAGCCAGGGCGAGCCCGGGCGAGGAGACCCGGGCCCCGGAGCCCGGCGACTAGGGCGCGAGAGGCGCCGGGGCAGCCGTTGGGGGGCGCGGGCAGCGCCGCCGTAGGGTCTGCGGCGCCGGGGCTGCCGGGGAGGGCGCGCCGCCAGGTGCCGGACGGCAGGGGGCAGCGGGTTTCGAGCGGGCGCCGACCCAGGGAGGGAAGAGGGAGGCGGGCGAGTCCCGCGCGGCGAGGGAGGGCGCCCGGCGGGCTCGCCGCCGGCCTACCTGGAGGTAATAGGGTTTCCTTAGCCAGGCCCCCGGACAGAGACTCCTCGCCATGGTAATCACACATCGCCCCGCCGCGCCGCAGTCAGAGGCGTACCCGAGCGCTGGCGACCCGGCTCCCCGCCTTCCCCCTCTTCCCCGCCCCCAGCCCGCCCGGGCCCGCCCACTCCTCCGCCCCCGCCGCGGCGTGCGCCGCGCTCCCCCCGGCCCCGCTGCGGTGACGGCGGCCGGCTGCCGGAGGCTCGGCCTCCTGCTCCGCTCGCCCGGCCGCCGCGGCAGTGAGAGCCGCTGCTGCCGACTCCGCCATAAAGGGGAGTCGCGCCTTGCCTCGGCCGACACAAATCCAACTGCGCCTCGCGCTTAAAGGGGAGGCGTGCGGAGGAGGCAGAGGGCGCGGTGGAAGGCCGGGTGTTGCACGCCCCACGCGGGGAGGGGCGGGTCGAGCAGGGTGTGTACCGCGCGGGCCGGAGCGCCGACTCTTCGGACCTCGCGGACCTGGCCGTCGGCTCCCGGCTCCCAGCGCTGCTTCCGCCGCGCCTCCCGCCAACCCCGCTACTCCTCCAGCTAGGACTGACGTTCCCTTTGGACTGTGCTCCTTCAGTCGGGACGTGTCTGGGCGGGCTGCATGGAAATTTAAGGGAAGCTTGGGGTTCCTTGCATGGTGACGGGCTCGTTCTCCCTCGCGCGCGGCGGGGGGTGCGGCCGGGGCAGGGGGCGTCTGCCGCAGCCCGAAAGACCTAGGGGCGCAGCTCCTGAGGACTGGGCTCTGCGCTTTGTGGCGGAGCGAACGCAGACAGGGCTCCTCTCCGCTGAACGGAGAGTGCCCCCCAAAGCCATTTCTTCTCTTAACGGCCTTAAACTTTTTTAAATGTACTTTTAAAAAAATTCAGACTTTAAGTTTGTATTGTTCTCAAACATCTTCAGAGTTTTCCTGGCCCCACCCAGGAACCCTGACTCAAAAGAAAAAAAGAAAAACAGTACTGAATTAAATGCAGTCCTGAAGATAGGAGACCTGGGACGTGGCATAGCTACTCAGTGAAGGCTACATAACGAAGGGTGTGGTGTCTTTCTTTTGACAGTGAAGTCCAAATAAGGGAAAAAAGAGCCACCCTAGTGGGAGAACAGCTGTTGATGAGAGAGACGCGAGAGATGCGTAATGAAGGAAGATGCGTTTTTGCTTCTTCTTACCCCACGTACTACCTTTTCACGTGATGCCAACACAGTTTGGGTAGCCAGTTAGAACTCATTCTGGCCTGTTGCTCTGAGCAGTGTTTTCTCAAGAAGCAAATCTTTACTCAGTCATTGTGGTTTTTACCTAAACCTCGTTCTGGTGCTTTGCATTTCTGGAGGAAAAAACAAAAAAAAACCCAAAAAACTTTGCACCTGCCCCTCCCCCAACCCACATACAGACACAGATGTTTTAAACCAGGGTGTGTGGGATTGCTTGCAGATAAATCCATTTTTCATTGATTTTCAGTTTGGGTTAAGAGAACAGTAATCTCTTGAGTTAGCTAAGAATGGATGCTACCTGTTTCATTCATTCATTCATTAATCCAATAAATACTAATTGAACACCGGGACATTGTTCTAGTTGGTTGGGTTATAAACCTGAACAAAACAGAAATCTCAACCCTTGTGAATATTACGTTTTCGGGGTGGGGTAACAGGCAATAAATAATAAATGTAGCAAATGAAATCAAATAGGGTAATAAAGCTGATATGGGATATAAAAAAAGAAAACGAATCAGTGGAGATGGGGGCACTACAGGTGGTGTAGGTTTGAAGAGAAAGATCAGGAGTTCAATTTGGACATGGGACATTTGAGATCTATTAGAAATCCAAGTGAAGATCTTGAGTAGGTAGTTGTATATTTGAGTCTGGTGTTAAAGATAGTGGCTCAAGCTAGAGATATTTGAGAAATACTAACATTTAGATGATATTTACAGCCATGAGACTGGACAAGATCACCAAAGGAGTGAATGTAAATAGGAGAGAACCAAGGATGAAGCTAGCAAAGGAGACTGAGAAGGAGCAGCCAGTGAAGGAGGAAAACCAAGAGAGAGGTGCCTGGAAGCCAGGTGAAGATAGTGTATCAAGGAGCAGTGAATGCTTATATGTGAGTAAGGACTGAGAACTAACCTTTGGATCTAGTACCATGGAGGCTATTGGTAACACTTCAGTGGAGCAATGGGAGAAAATTTGATCCATGTGGGTTTAAGAAAAAATGGGAGGAGGGAATTAGGATGTCTAATACACACAATTCTTTTGAGAAGTTCTTGACAAAGGGGAGCCCAAAAATGAGCAGTAACTGGTGGTGGAAGTGGAGTCCACAGCAGAGTGACAAATTGGGAAAAATACTTGTTTTTGATGAGAATGATCTGGAAAAGATCTGGAAGATGAAAAATTAATGTAGGATCAAAAAGAGAAAATTGCTGGAGCAGTGTCAGTGAGTGGGAAAGAGTTTGGAATCTAGCACACAAGCGAAAGGATCTGTAGACAGGAGCACAGGCTCTTCTATGGGAACAGGCAAGCAAGTGTGTAGGCAGGGTAGTGGGAGTCTGTGAAGTTCTCTTCTGATCATTTCAGTTTTCTCAGAGGCAAAGGAAGTAAGGTCATCAATAGAGAAGTGAAGAAGAGTAACTGAGCTTTGAGGAGAGAAAAGGTGTGAAGTAGTTATCTAGGAGAATGAGAAGATGAATGGACTAGGGAAAAATCATATGCTTACTGAGTGCCATAAGGACCCACTTGAGTTCATGGTCATGAATTTAACTGAGATTAAGTCAGTGTGGTGGTGCCTTTTTTTGTCCACTAATAATTGGCTACCAGGATGCAGGCTCAGAATAGGCTTAGAATTCTTTTTAATCAGGTTTCAGCAAGGAAGTTGAGAATATAACTAAGGGAGAGATTATGATTCTCCATGGAGTTTGGGATGAGGGAAGAATGAATATGGAGAGATTAAGGACAGAGAAAAAGTGGTAGGATCAATGAATTGCAAGTTTTTGAGGGACTGTAGGAGTCAGAGAATAAAAGGGAATTAGCTGGAAAGATAGATAGATAATAAAGAGTCTGACTCCATTTTAAAATTTTCATTGACAGCTTTCAAGCTCCACCTCTTCTCTTTTCCCTGTGCCGCACACCCAGGAAAATTGATAAGATGACTCTTTTGGTGCTGGTGGAAAGTACAAACCATGCAAGACCTAGCCCACTCGAGGGAACCTTCACCCTGGTCCTACCCCTCTATCACCATAAAACCCTAAGACAGTCTCCTTTCTCTGCTCCCTTAGACCACATTTGTACCAGCTTACGAGCCTGCTCTGCTCTCCACAGAGAGCTGCTTTTTGTGAGTAATAAAAATTTTTTTAAGATTTTAGTTTTAAGTAATCTCTATACCCAACATGGGGCTCAAACTCACAACCCTGAAACCAAGAGCTACACGCTCCACCGACTGACCCAGCCAGGTGCCCCATACAACTTTTCATACTCTCTTGGTACGTGTGTGGCATCATCAGTATCGACATCCAAACCAAATCTGAGGTAGAGGAGTCCATCCTACTTCTGCAGAGTGACCACAGCAATATGGCTATTAGAGTGGGATGCATGAAAACAAGATTATGGAGAAGTGATGCAGTCTAGAGTGGAATGCAACAATGGCAGTGAGTGCCTAAGGAGTGTGGAATACAGTGTCATTGGAAGAGACTCAAGGAGAGTATCATAAGGATTATCTAGTATATATTGAAAACAAGACTTAGAATTAGGAAAGGTGCTAGAGAGGATGCCAGTAGCCAAAAGATAAAGTCCTTGAAAAATAAGGCAGAGTGATATATGAGTGAGTAGGTGACTACCACAATGAGGAGGGTGACAACATCAGGGGACATGAGTTAAAAAACAAAGCAAAGCAAATACTGGGCAGGGGGAGAAATTAGAAAAGAGAGAACAGCCTGAAAGAAGCAATGAACAGCAAGGAGGATTCCTATCCCACCTCCAAGTCCAGTGGAATGTTTCCTTTCTCTAGCTTATTGTAAGAATATAGTATGTAATACATATAACATATAAAATATGTGTTAATCACCTATTTATGTTATCAGTAAGGCTTCCAGTCAGTAGTGGGCTTTTAAATTTTTGGAGAGTCAAAAGTTATGCACAGATTTTCGACTACATGGTGGTGGTGTTGGCACTCCTAGCCCCCATGTAATTCAAGGATCAACTGTATAGGAAAATCAAGATCAGTAATCTTTGAACTCTTTTGTTTATATAACCTCAAAAGAGCTTTGAAAAATACATCTATCCCCTTCTCATTTTTATATCAGTGTCCAAAATTTTTATCATAAAATAAAACAATTGTAAAGGAAGCAATTTCAATATTACATTGTAAATATTGGCATTTAAAAATAAGAGCCACACAAGTCTTAAGTATGTTCAGTGGGCTATAAATACCACAGCAGTTTGATACAATTTAAAGAGTAAATTAAAAAATTATTTCTTCAGCTATCCTAATTGAAACATTATTCCTTTTTCTTCTTCTTTAACTTTTATAATTCCATTTCCCTTATAGAATTTTGTCCTGTTATATATTTTTACAGATTCTAATTTATTTTTCAACCTGTCATACTTCCCTGCAATAAAAAAATAATTTGGCATGTTAATGCCGTTTACTTTCATTTTAAAAATTTGATTTTTGAATACATAATACTCTCATCTGTTTCAAAAAGAGAAACTAACTTAAAAGTGTAGATTGAGAAGTCTTTTTCCCACACTCATGCCTTTCTACCTTATCCCTACCCTACAAAGATAATCACTCATTAATTTTTAATGTATTCTTCCAGTGCCAGTGTTCCTTTATAAATAAAAACAAAATTGAATATGTATTTTGAGTTGAATATATATTTCATCCCCCCTTATCTTACATAAAAGATGAATTGCTTTATTACAGTTTTAAAAACTGTAGAATGGCAGTGTACTGATTAGATTAATGAAAATGTACTAATTAGACCAATATCAAATCACACCCCTGATAAGAACTCTTCCTTTACCTTTTACCTTAAGTGTGGGATTGGGTCACCAATTCAACTCACATTCTTCAAGGACGTTTCAAAAACCTATGGTGCTTTTAGTTTTTT